ATATGAAAGTTTATAGGCACGTAGTTTCACATTTATTAGGCTAATTATTAAACAGTTCTCACATAGGTCCTTCTAATTCTGTTATTGTTTTATAGTGCAGAAGTGTCAGTGGTGCTCCCAATTAGCTACCATACTTTCCTAAGACTTAGGCTATGTTCACACACACGGCGTACGGCTGGCTTAAGCATGGCGTAGCGTACGCCTTTGTGTGTGAACTAGGCAGTGGAGTTGTTAAAGCCACTCACTACGCCACGTCCTTGGCGTTATTAACGCTACCTGCAGACCCCAGATTAGCTAACGCCACTGAGCTAACGCCAGTGATGCTTAAATGATTTTCCCTCATTTCAAGAGATTGACCAATCACGATTGCAATATATTAGCTACTTTGGTCTCTTTCCTGTGCTCTCTATAAATGAAATGGTAAAGGGGTTCTTTTTCTATTGCACTTTACTTAGTTATAATGTATACGCTTTGTTGATTGTGTTTAACCTAAGATAGTTTAACTATTTTTGTCTATTAAAACCTGCAACACCAACAATGCCAGCTGAAAAATCTGAGTAAAATTGTTCATTTAAAATACAATAATCATAAGTTCACTTCGAACAATTCACAGATTTAAAAGTTTTACTGATGCACTGTTAATTTTACTACAGTTAAGAACCCGTACATTATTTAAAACTATTCCCCTATATTACTACTAGTTTAACACCAGCGTTAATATAGCGAACGCCGTTTGTGTGAACACTTTAGAATTTTAATCCGTGAATTAGCTTACGCCTGACGTAAGCTACGCCAGTCTTACGCCGTATGTGTGAACATAACCTTAGGTTTCAACTGTGCACAGGTTACTTCCTATTCTACCACTTCATAAATCACTACTGACCACTTATCACCAATTGCCACTCTTTTAGCTCATCATTATCTATTAATTCTGGTAATCGCCACCTGGTAACTTCATATATATTCTCTGAAACCGCTGGCAGGAATGTCCTAATTTCTCATACACTGGTACTTCTATATGTCACATTCCGCTACTTTTCAAGGCTGGATATTGGATAACAACGAAAAAAAAAAAAAAAAAAACAGCACCACCGAGAATCAGTACCTTCGCCATGTTTTGAAAGTTGCTTACGTCACGAAATACAACTAATCACATCTATTCTGTACTGCAATGCTTAAAGATTTTCGAGGCAGGCCGTAAAAGAACCAGTCTATGTTTCGCAGCTTAATTACGTCAACGCGCAGTAATTCTCACGTTCGTCAACAAAATGAGTGACAAGCATGTTCCCGTACGCGATATTTTTTTTCCTATACGAGAATTGCCAATGAAGAAGAATTAAGCAGCCTGATCTCAGGGGCGGATTTAGTGGGGACCGGCCCGGCCCCGCCCCCCCCCCCTTTGGGAGGCAAAAAAAGAAAAAAGAAAGAAAAAAAGAAAGAAAAGAAAAAAATGATAGCCCACAACGCCTCAAATGTTATTTTCCGGCGTCTAGAACACAAAAATTTCGCGGACCCCCAGGACATTGTTGTCTCGATCGGCCCAAACTTCGCCCCCCCGGCCCCCCCCCCCTTTGGACTATCTCTGGATCCGCCCCTGTGATTGGCTGTTCTATGTTACATGACCCCTCAAATTCAGTCAGGCATGCAACACGTTGCAACATGGCATATAGAAAAAAATATTCCTTACTTCTTTGGCGTACCCATTGCAATACTGGATATTATTGTAGTTTTCTGGCTCAAAACCATCAGCAGTAAATGGCATGTTTTAGACGTCGATCAGTTAAAAATAAAGATACACCTGGGCACAAGCCATGATATAACCTAACACAGGCCTATTAGAATAGGCACAGCCCTAGGCTCTGGCCTAGCCTATGATGTCGATGTGAGATAGGTCCAGGGCCTTGTCTTAGGTTTAGTTAGCATACCTAGGGCCTATCCTCTTCTCTATCTCTCGAATCCGGGTTGATTTGGATAGTGCATAAGATAGATAGCGACACTAAAGTTACATTAGGGTCAGCCAGCTCCACCAATCAATATCTTGAATTTAAATTCATACTGCAAGCATGAACATAGTTCTTTAGTTGTTAAACTAGTAGTATTAAGTTACCTTAGTCTTCCCACAAACATATCCGATGACTTTTCATTGTGACAATATGACTTTTTTTAATTATTATTATTGGTTTATCACTTTTACCTTTTCTTTTTTTTTTCATGGAAAGCTGTAAATTTTACTTACCTACTTGACTCATGTTCTTCCTCCTATAACGACATGCATACTCATTTGTTTTTAGGTTCAGTAAGTAATAACGTTTCAACTCAAAAAATACGAAGTCCTATTATTAATTTTTGCTTTTTCTAAGGTCCATTGGATATAACATTCTTCTCTAAATCACCACACAGTTCAGATGTCCGTGGATACGCACTTAATAATGACAAAACAGCAGATTTATCTTTAGGGATACTGTACAAGAATGGGAAGGATAATGTAACCTGGGCTGATACTGGATGGGATAGAAACCAAATGACTGAAGGCATAGTAACATTTGACATGCCAGATAATAAAACTTTTGACACAAGAAGCCTCATAGCATATAGGGTATATAGACCTTTTGTGTTTCTCGCTGTTACCGATTTACCAAGCTCTGAGAGAGTAGGTGTGTTTTCATTTGAAGCTACTACATCTATCGTAGTAACTAAGTCAGCAATCGTTGTGACGTCATCAACCTGTAAGTACAACTTTTTATTTATTGGGTTGTTTATTATTATTATTATTATTATTATTATTATTATTATTATTATTATTATTATTATTATTATCAATATTAAAATTATTATTATGAATATAATTACAGATGCAAATACTGTGATGCTGATATTGATATTTTATATGTTATTTTAAAGTATTTTTAATGTAATTTTGCAGCCAGAATTAGAATGCAGTTTCGAACGTTGACTGTCGGCATTGGAGAATCCGTCACAATCAGTCTCAGTGAAGACAGCGGTTATAACAATTTCCGCTGGAGACATAATTATGGTGATGCAATTCAAATGTGGAACGATAACTCGTCCGTTACGATAGAAAATATACGCGCTAAAGATGACGGGGTATATGAATCTTATAGAGCTGACAGTCCAGAAAACAACCGCGGAGTAATGAGACTCATTGTTAGAGGTAACTTAGGCATGATAACATTTTAATGGTCTAAATTTCACTTTCAATAGATAGTTGGATTGATGGAGAACGGATAAGAAATCTATTGCAATGAAATAGTTGACAAATTTTTCTCGGCTCGGTATATAAAACATTTTGAACTGCAATAGGCTCACTTTACTTTTGACTTCTGTTGCATTTGTACTTTATTTATGAAGATTGTCCACTGCCAAAATGGAATCCCCCTGAATGTGAGATGGATTGTCCAGTGTGTTATAATGGTGGAGTTTGTGACGACAAGATCGGTTTTTGTATTTGCCCCGCAGGTTTCACAGGGGATAACTGTCAAACACGTAGGTCTACATTTAAATTAAATTTAATTAAATTTACATTTTAGTAAACGATAAAACACATGTTTCCGTATCTTTTTAATTTGAAGACAAAATGATATAAATTAAGTTTTGTATTATTTAGTCACCATTCTAAAATTGAAATGTTTTTTCTTCATAAATCTTGCTATGTTTCTTTTTTCCAGTTTAATATTCTATTTACTTTTTTTTTATTGTGTAGCTTGTGGGTCAAACAACTGGGGTCGTAATTGTGATGTTGTTTGTGCGTCGTCTGATGCTGAAGCTTGTAAAGGAAAACTTTTATGTCCGCCTGACCCATTCGGATGCACATGCATCAACGGATACGGAGGGGACGATTGCAATACAGGTTGTGAAAATCATTGTGCCTTGCTAGTAGTAAATCTCGTACATTTGTTCATTTGGGTTTTATTTTACAATCATTTTGCGCTTGTTTCTTTTACTTAATACGAAATGACACCGGATGAAGTCCACTGTGTGGACAAAAGCTAGAGCCAATAGATGTTATATTATACAAGTTAGTTTTAAAAGTGCGATTGTCATTTCTTATACTTTTTTTTTTATTATACCAGACTAAAACTACGGTCACACCGAGCCCGGTTTTCGGGCCGGACACTGGTCCAGAAACCGGACTTGGTGTGAACGTAACTTAACGCGGCACGCTATTTTTCCCTTTTACAATTTCAATATGTATATAACATGTATAATGTATACTATACGGTACTACTCTAATGCTACTGCTATATTATTCTAAATGTATTATTTATCAGAATGTGATGCTGGGTACTATGGAGCAGATTGTCGTCAAGTATGCCACTGCAATTCAAGCAACTGTGACAGAAAAGCAGGATGTACATCCGGGTCAACGTGCTCGGATGGGTACACGGGAACAGGGTGCCAAGGTAGACTTACATTTAATTATCACAATTGTATTAGCATTAGCAATTTAATTTAAATCGTATTCTCTATAGCAGTTAATACATAGAAACATATTATGTTTTCTACCAAATAGGCTAAAAAAATATTAAACAATTTGACAATTAAATATTTTTTCTATTAGGCTATTCTAATAATATTTTTCAAATTATTATATTGTAGTGTTTAATCTACATAGTAAAAGCCAAATAATAATAATAATAATTGAGTTGCTTCAATCGTCTTTAGGAGAATAATATCTGCACGTAGATAGTTCTGAAAAGAACTGTTGTTGTTAGTTGAGAGAATAGCTCGGCGACGTTTCGATTGAGTTGCTTCAATTGTCATCAGGAGAAGAATATAATATCTGCAGAAATTTCAAAATAGCGAAATACTTATGTGTTTAATTTGGGTAGTGAGACTTGCTACTGAGTGTTGGAAAGCTAAGCAAGAAAGACTACTTGTGAAAGGGAATGCAAAAGCCAGATTCACTGTGCATAAGGGCCGGGCGGCGCATTGCTAGAAAGCCAAGAGAGTGGCATTTTTCTAGCTTGGTAAAAGAAAAGCCAAAAGTGTGTTTTTCAGTGTAGAGTGGCAGGAAATGTATGAATTAAACATGGACAACCTAGTATCACTGACAACAAATCCGATATCTTGGTGTATTGCATCGTGTTTGTGAATTTCTAGAGCTCTAGCTCTGGTCCGTCTGGAATGCCAAGATGGTATAGTGGCGATCAGTTCGGATCAGTTTGTTGGGTGCACTGTGAAACATTTCAATATCGGCTTCTTATTGAATGCGTTGAATATATATGTCAAAGCTGTCCCAAATATGGTAAACATAATAATAGACTTTTTAGATTCCGTATCATCTTGGCTATTGCTGCGTTTCGCTATTTTGATGTCTCTCGTGTGATAACCTTTCAGGGCTTCCTTAACACGCATGCACTTCTTTCTGAATAGAGTTGCGGTGACTGATATTGTGTGCTCTTCTGATAAGTGTATTGCAAATTCCCTTCTTGGTGAATGGATGGTGAAACGAGCGTTTGTTCAGATATCTGATGTGAGTTGGTTTGCGATAGACTGAATGTGACAAAATCCCTGGTGTCCAAAACATCAAGAAAAGGTAAAGAGCGATTGTGCTCCCCTTCCATGGTAAACATGATTGTTTTTTGCTGAGAATTCAGGAAGTGTTGTGAGTTAATGACGTGATGACCAGTGTTGCCTACCAGTGGATACAGTAACCGGGCAAAGATACTTGGCCACGTCCCACCCTTATTGAATCTGGTTTTTGTATTAGCCTTTTCACACGTAGTCTCAGTTATTGTTAGTTTTCCACCAATCAGAAGCAAGTCCCACTACCCAAAACACATAAGTAGTTCAATATTTTGGAATTTCTGCAGTTATATTAAAATTACAGGATAATATACAGATAACAGCACAGTTTTACAAAACCACACACAAAACAAAGGAATCAACAAGATTATAAAACATCGAATTGGAATTAAAAAGCCATATATGAAAACAATTATTGCAGCATTATTGTTATTTTTAATTTATCTGCGCTATATAAATCCATCTATTATTATTATTATTATTATTATTATTATTATTATTTTGTTACTATTATTATTCATTATTATTATTGTTATTATTTTATCGTTAAAATCATAGTTGCTGATTGTAAATTGTATAAAAATATGAATCTTTAAAGTTTCCAGACTTTTTAAGCACAAGATGTTTCTACATTATTTACCGTACTAGCTTCAATAGCGAAACTCTTACATGAATGAGTTCATTCGACGGGTCGATAAACTTTCTAATTTTAAGGTCTTGAGATAAGCCTCGGATAGAAAGTAGGGATTTTTTCAGCATACGAGTTACAAGAGAATGCCGAGTTGCTAACTCGGCAAACTCGACAAAAACTCGTAGGACGATTCGGAAAGCTCGGAGAGGACTCTTACCTACTCGTAGCAGCTCTGAACTCGTGGCGCTAATTTTGAACATGTTCAAAATTATCGCCACGAGTAGAACTCGTAGTAAACTCGAAGAACTCGTAGAGTACTCGGGGTACTCCTACCTAGCTCGTACACTACTCTGGATACTCGTCGGCGGTTTTGTCATCTACGAGTTTGATGCGAGCAGCACCCAAAAACGAGTACGAGTAAGTACGAGCGCACCGAGTTGGCTCGTACCTAACTCGTATCTAATTCGGTACAAACTTGTTACGCTCGTAATAATCTCGTAGTTAACTCGGTGCTCCGCTCGGCATAATTCGTACATAACTCGTAACCAACTCCATAAAGTCGTACCTCACTCGTAGCTAACACGTAATAAGCTCGTATAGGTCCTTTCCAAAAATCACGAGTTTTAACTCGTAGAAATCGTACGACTCTTAGGTGAAATAAACCTAGGTGGGAGAGGGGGTTTCTGAATTCCCTATAAGTGTGCCGACTGTGCCCTAGTTAGACCAGAGTTGCACACAGTTGCACCATATGGGGTGCCACACGCAGCAAAAGTCCATGTTAAAATCAAAATGTAATTGCAAAATTCAATGTTAATTTATCAAAAATGTAGATCTAGTTTCCCAAAATGAAGTTTTAAATTTTCAAAAAAACGTAGTTCAAATTTCCAAAAAATGTAGTTCTAATTTCTTTAAAATGTAATTAAAATTCAAAACGTATGTCTGACTTGGTCGAACGCCCTCTCCAAATTCTGTTCCAAAACGTAAATCAAAACCAGCCAAGCATGACTGGTTTGAAATACATTTTACAACAACACATCAAGACATGCGAAATGTAAATCCTAACTAGTCAGCCAAGCGTGACGTGAGCCCGTTCCATTAATAATGGGGGAATAATTTTTCGCTGCAATCCAATCCCGAGAACAACGCTTCCCAGTGCGTCTGCTAATTTTTAATGGTCATGGTACCGCGATCACGAGCCCTATGCTAGGCATTATAGGTTAGGCTTATGTGGGCTCGGATTTGCAACAAGGTCTTGGACTAAGCCTCTATACTATAGTAGGAGGCCTGGTCCTAGTCTAGGCCTATAATATAGTAAAATTCTGTATACGTATGATTACAGGTTTACATTGTACCAAGGTCGATATTAACGATGGAATTTATTTTTCATTGAAAGTATAA